TAGTTCACTAAATCCATAGGACATAAATTGTGTTCTGGTTGTAGATTCTTATGTTGACAAAATACACATTTTCTTTCCTAGCTGTAATGCTTAATGCCCTCTGTATCCTAAATTATATATCTATCCCAGAGCCATGGACTAGTCAGACATTCACATTTCTATGAATATTCCTTAGAGCATGGTAAGTAAAAATACAGTCACCTATTTATTCTGTATTTGTTTGATAATCTGATCTCTATTTAGGATGAGAACAAACTCCTTGACCCAAAATGAAACAAAAACTCTAATGAATATTCCTAGTCATAGCCCAAACAAAGATAGTTACATTTCTGATGTCATTACCTAGTTGGAAAGTGATTTTGTTTGATGTCATGTCACCGAAATTGTATGTGGATTAGTCCAAGATTCTGGGAATGAGTCACAAACTGACATATAATATGATTACAAAAGTATTTTCTAAGGTGCCTTTAAGAATACATGTTCTAGATCTAGCACTATTGCTAAGAATAGAAACAATAATAATTGTCTTAATTTGTACGGCTGTATTAAAAGTATAGACAAGTCAACTGCTTTTCTTCCATGTGTCATTTGTATGCTGCATTTAAGTACCAACTCTAAAATAGAAATATGCAGGCAGAGAGCATTCTTTTTAATTTTAGTAGAATAATACTAGCAGAAGATAATAGGCAGTAATTTGTTTGGAAAGACTAGCACAAATGAGTCCTAGATGATTACTTGTAAATAAAATATTTCTCATTAAAAAGTATTGGTGAAGAATCTTGGTCCCAGATACGTCACAGGAAAAAAAATCCTGCTAATCCAGTGAATACAGGATTTTGCTTTTTGATGATTTGTTATTACAATAATTTAATAACATCTCAAGAGGAGTCTTAAATCTAATTTGTCAGCTTGTCTGCAGAGTTTATTTGTGTGCATTGCATTCTGGTATTCTTTGAAGTTAATTTTATTAAATGGTGTAAAATGCAAAAGGCAGCCAGCCTAAGCAATATATGAATAATAATTGGAAAAAGGACTTATATCTTATTGGTTGTTTTCAATTTTATGCATGATACATACTGTATTTGTTCAAAGAGATTGTCTTCTTACAGTGCATTTTTCAAGCCATGGATTAATTATGTCAGATTTTCTGTGGCCACACTGGGACTGTGCAAATTGTGGCACTGGTGGTATTTTCAGTGTATGCCTTCGTCCCCACTTGCTGAATTGGACTGCTTGCTGTTGTTTCTAAATTCTACCTCTCATTAAATGAGAGTTCACTTTTCTCTCATTCACTGAGAAGGAATAAATAGTGCATCCGGAGTTCTCCTCATCATCTTCCTTCAAGGTATCATAATGTTATGTGCCATGACTTGAAAGGTATGTCAGGATCCTCAAGAGTAGCTGATGCCACTGTATACAAGAGAATATTTTTTAATTTGGTTGCAATTTGTACTTTAAAAGGAATTGGTACCTGGCCCACCTGTCAAATCTATTTTAGGGCAAACAAAAATTTATTGCTTCCTATAAATGCTGTATATAGACCTGTAAAATATTCTCAGTGATGCAGGTTATTCACAGTTACTGAGGGAACTACTTGAAGAGAACAAGCTGTTTTTGTCAGCTAAAAGTAGCCCTATGAGTGTTGAGCTCAGTTACATTGCCCCTTCAAACCAGTATGTACTTCTGTTTATAGTTCATAATTCCTAAAAACTGATTTAGAAAAATTTTATGTGACACACATTTAGGTGTTCAACAATTTTCAAAAAAGACAGCATGTTTTACAAGTGTACTTACTGGTTCAAAGCCAATATGTATACATAAATATATTTATACAAAATTATGACGGCCTATGTTAACTTTCTGGAGCAACCATTCAACAAATGGTTGCAAGGAACTCTGATATTCAAAAGCATTAAAAAATAATGCCTGTGACAGTGGTGCAGATCAGTATTCCCAATGATACCTATACCTAATGCAGGAGAATTAGCCTTTAAAAATAGAATTTGGAAGAATAACCACAGTGAACCCTGTAAGACTGAAGTCAGCCCATAGGATCATGAAATAAAACACATGAAACTCTCTTTCTCTTGTGTTAATGTCACTGCTGTTGTTTCACATCTGTGTGAAACTGGTGCTCAGGTGAATGGGTCTTGTCTCTCCTTTCTTACTGTGGCACTATAAAGTAGTCATTGAAAAAGGATAGGTCTGGTCTCTGTTCACTGCTTATGCATTTTGCAGCAATGAAAATTAAATGAACCACACTCAGAACATTTGCAATCAGAGAAATTAATCCAGTGATCCCCAAGATACTTTATTTTAAGCAATGTGAATGCAGTCATAGCATTCTGTATCCATTATAGACATGCTATGCATACAAAATGTGCAGTTCTGGCTAACAGGGCAGCACTTCAGCCTCTTTGGCAGGAGAAAGGATTTAAATGGGTCTTACTGGGCATATAATTAACTAATTTACTCAACTTTTGCTATCTAGAATTTGAACTTCTAGTTTAAGTGGTTTAAGCTATCTGTTATGCTTTTAACGTAGTATAGTATATTGAAGTAAACACACATCCAGACTCTACCCTAATGAACCAATTCTTGCCATTTTAAGTGTGTGTAATTTGTTGAAGATCACTCAAAAGGAGCAGATAATTCTTTCATGTGGGAATCATTTAATGCATTGTCAATAGCATTTCTACTCCTTATGCTTTAGATGAAGAGTATTTAATTGTCTCTGCAGAGACTGTCAGTTCTAGGAACTTGTTTTAGTATCTTGATGTTGAAGTGCAGTTTTGTTGGGATTAGTTCTCTCCACACTGTAGACCTGATTTTGCAGTATTCTTAAGTAAGAGCCCCAGCTAAGTAGTAGTCTCCAAAACCAATGTTAATTGAATGCATAAATTGAAGTGTGTTCCTGAGTCATGCCTGTGATTTGGTGTGACTGTCGTTCTCTTTCCTCTGAATGGGAATGAAGTACATGGCAAAGCATGGAAATGTCAAAGTACCTCAGTTCTATACATCCTTCATCTTCATTCAAACTTAGTCTGACTGGGAATAAGGCCAGGTACCCTGGGATTTTGCCGGCAGATCTAAGGGTCCTTGTTAAAGGTGCATCTCTCTCCCGGCCTCTCCATATATCATCAGAGAAGAGAAAGATGATAGCTCATTGCTTTGATTGTTTTCTCCTGAGATAAAGAGACAATCGGTGCCCTTTACATTTCTCATCCAGGAAATGACATACTTAAGTAGATTTTCTGTCCCTGCAGAAAGGCAATGATCTTGATCTTCTGACAAGATATCATAGATCTGTAAAATAAAAAGGAGTTTACAAAGCAGGTAGGAATATAGCCAGCTGAATGATGTTATATACTGGATTGTTTTGCTTAGTATTTTTGTTGGGTTTTTTTTGTTTGTTTGTTTTGTTTTGTTTTTTTTACCTCACTATTTGTGCAATAGAAATAAACGTCTTTGGTCAAACAACATCAAAGGAATTTCACACACATAGAAATGAGGGAAGCTATTCTATTTTCTGTAGCACAGATTGGTGGGCTCAGTAGGACAACATTTGAAACAAATAGGATATATTTTCACATAAGCTGCCAAATTCCTGTAGTTTATGTGAAACAGAATGTTCTTAACTCTGTTTATGGCAGATGGGAGCTCACCTATCACATACACACAAAGAATGAAAGTGGTGCTGAGACTAGGGTTCTTTCTTTTAATCTGGAAGGGGCAACTCTAAAGAGACAATTGTGGAGAAAAATTCTAGCACTTGCTTTGTGTATGGTGCACAGTTAAGACGTTGTCCTTGTGGTTTCTTTTGTCATTAGGTTGCTAAGACAAACACAACAAACTTTATTCAGCTTGGTGCAGGGTAGAGATTTTTGCCAGTCATAAAGAGACCAACACGTCCTGAAGCGAAGGAGCCTGCATAGATATAGGACAGTTAAAAATTTTACCTCCCCCATATTCTGTTCAATTCCCAGTAGATAGTAAGCCATTCATAGATAAAGACCAAGGGCACATATAAAAGTGTTGTCCTACACCACTGAGAGAGAGTAATTTACAAACCCTTATACAAAAGTCTTGCCTTAAGTTCCTGTGTTGTCCGATGCCTGTGAAATTAATGTTCATCAAAGTAGTAGCACAATGTAAGTGATGATGACCTCCTAATTATGTGAAATACTATTGGAATCACAATGAAACATTTTAAAAATCCAAAATATCTGGATGGTGTGGGATATCTTTAGATGAGGTTGAAAGGACAACAAAAATAGGTATTTTTCATTTTTAAGCAAAGTAGTTTAAATTTTTTTTTCTTCATAAATCCACACTAGATATCATTTTTTAAAGAGATGTTTTGCTAGACATCTGTAAATTTTATTAATTGTATATTTATTTTATAAGGCATTATGTCTTTTTCAACAAGATACAATGCAATTAATAACATAATTAATTGAAACGCCACTGACACGTTTAGAATTAATGATTTGCTCAAATCCCTCACTAGAGCTCTCATAAATAAACTCAAAATATTTTCTCCTTAAAGAAATTTCTTTTGTTATTTTATCTTTTAAAAATAGAGATTTTTTTTTACTATGATATGCTCTTTATGTTAAGACTAGACTTTTTTAGTATGGAAGAAGGGGTCTTGTATGTCAGACAAACACTTCAGATAGAGTAGGGAATCCACAGATCATCAGTGGAAAAAATCCTTGTCTTTTTTGTTTAAATACTAAATATAGATAAAGGAAATTCAGGGTAAATTTCACAAATGTAGTCTGACAGGTGTTATTCAAGCACTGGCAAAGTATAATATATCTATATGATTGAAGAAACATGACCACAGAACACTACATTTATTTAATTATGTACCACAGAGGTGTTAAAATTTTACTTGGAAGGAGATCAGCTATTTCTAATACAATTTTCAATGACAACTACATTGACTTACTTTTGTATGATTTTTTATATTTTGGTTTGGTTTTTTTTCCCTTTAGGCTGTGCTTTGGAGGTACAAGTTTTCCCAGCTCAAAGGTTCTTCAGATGATGGGAAGAGCAAAATCAAATTTTTGTTCCAAAACCAAGATACTAAACAAATCGAAGCAAAGGTAAAAACAATACATTATTTGTATAAAGGCAATATACAATTTTCAAAGCAGCTAGGGGAGTGGGGAAGCATAGTAAACTAAGTTACTTGGAAATATTAGATCAATGCATAAAAAATGAAAAAAAAAACAACCTATGAAATTGAAGAAAACTGAACAAATTACTTTCATCTAGTTAAAAGTTTTTTGGAATGTGCAACTAGATTTAAAAATAATAAAATACAGGACGTATGGTATATATGGGTTAAGGGATGTTTTCTAACTCTCCTCTTTCTCATTGTGATAAAGCTATTTGAGAGCTTGTGTATTCTGTTTTTTGCCCTGTAATTGTATCATGAAGAAATGGTGGAAAAATATATCCTTAAGTCAACCTGGGAACAAAACTCAGCAAAGACTAAAAATCTTTTTTTTATTTCTCAGAGGAAAAAAAAAAAAGTGTGGATTAAATACATATTTCCCAACAATATGCTGAATAAGCTGAAGTGTCTGTGTCTAATGCAAAATTAGAAAAGTTGTATTTCCAGCTGTGCTTTTGATTCAAGAGTTAATTCATTAAAACAGTAGCTGTGAGAGACAAGCTTACTTCAATTTATGTCTTTTGAGAATAAGGGCATTTACTGTCCAATGTTTGTGAGAAGTGATCTTCCCAAGGTCTGCGATGGTTGTAACTGCCTTAGAGTCTGGGTCAAAGTTCTTTTTTGACTAGGATCTAAATTTTAGGGTAAACCAAAAAACTAGTTTCTTGTTGATGTCTACGCTTTGCTTTCAAAGCATTTTCTATACTGTTTTTCCTGACAATTTCAGAGAAAAATTTGCAAATATGTAGGGTATTATGAAATATGTAAAGAAAAAAAATACGTGGTTTTGGGGATAGTTATGTGTTTAAATGCCAGTATCTACATTAAGCATCTTCCTCCATGTCTCTTTATGCTTCATGTTAATTGTGTTCTACCCAGCAGCTATTTACTTGATTTTGAGAGTTTTACTCAGTAAAATAAAGGTATGTAAGAGTTTCTATTAAATCAACAGCAGTAAAATGTGAGGACCATGATTCTGATACCTTCAATGTTCTGCTGCATCTCAAAGATAGATACTTTCTTATTTCTGATTTCCTTCAGAGATATTTTTAGCAGTAGAGAAATTTTTTTTTCAGCCCTAATAAGACAATACAGTTTAACTTAATGTTATTAGCATTATTTTCTCTTAAGAAAGTAATTGTAAAATCCTGCTCTCCTGTACAGATGAAGGATGAAAGTCATAATTTTTTTTCTAATATCTGTCTGCTATTGCTGTCGTATTAACACATTATTTTAGCACTAACAAAAGCCATAGGAGTCCAAGAATGATGCACTGTTGGGGTGTTTGGGGATTTTGGCAGTTTTGGTTACGCTTTGGGGTTTGGTTTTTGTTTTTTTTTTTAACTGGTAAAGCTAGAATACATTTTTAATACTGAATTACATTTTTAATACTGAATTACATTAAATTACATTTAAAATTACATTTAAATACATTTTAATACTGAATTACATTTATTTTTTATTTAAAAAAATAAAATAGAAATTTGAAAAAAATTAAGGGTTTTTAATGTTTTAAATTATATCTGTCATATAAATCACTTAAAGATACATTAGTATGTTGGACATACATAAGCCTTAGAGGTATCCTGTGCCTTTATTGTACCTATTGTTATTTCCACTCAAATTGAGTTCTAGAAAATTCTGCCAAACTTTTATTAAGGTAGAAATGCTACCTTATGAAGCCAGAGTATTATACAAACCTGCTAGCATGCTTATTAATATGCTGTCTTGTTCCCTGGTTGCTGCTCTTTACTATAAATTTACTTTCACATTACTCATTTTTGAAATTAACATTTGTTTATTTTAATTAATTTTCATGGTGAGCAAAGCATATCAGCTATATGCAAAGATGTCAGGTTATATTCTGTTTGGAAGTTGCTGTGGCATTTATAATGAGCACTTCTATCCATTCCAATTTGTTTACATATTAAGTATGTTGCTTAGTCTAAGAAATGTAGATAAATGTGTCTGTAAAATGAATGTGAAGGTTATTGGGTCATATATTTTCAGTGCTGGTTACTTTACAATTTTGTGGATAATCGCCTTCTGTATCCTTTAAAGCTTTCATAGATTTAAAGCAGTATTCGTCATAAGGAGAGGTGGTACAGTCTAGCCTCTATTTTCTTGCTTTACATTCCTGAGTCAGAAGTATAGCTATTTTTGGAACTGTTGAGTCATTAACAAATGTTAATCAGATTTTCAGAAATATTTGTAAAGCCCGATTTCATGAATACTGTATGCAGACTTCATTTGAAATCAGAGGATGGAACTTTTGTAAAACATCTATTAAAGGTTGTGATGAATATTCATGCCACAGCTATCATCACCATCATCATCACTATCATCATCATCAGTTTTGCAGCTGGAATGGAGACCCACTGCAGCAGCATTTTCTTTATGATTCTATTCTTTTTTTCCCCAAGTTATAATACAGGGGGAGTAATCAGAATGTGGTTAAAGGAGAACACAGCAGAGAATAAAACAAAAAAATTGAGGAGCCATTGCACCAATGTATTAGGGCTCTTCACTTGCTTATTCCCAAGCAGCAATGCGAAAGCAGGGCGTAGCAGGTAACTTTCCAGACATCGCAAATACTGTATTCAGTTTTGGGCCACTCACTAAAAGAAAGACATTAAGGTGGTAAAATGAGTCCAGAAAAGGGAAAGAGAGCTGGTGAAGGGTCTGGAACACAAGTCTGGTGAGGAGCAACTGATGGAGCTGGGGTTGTCTAGCCTGGAGTGAAGGAGGCTCAGGAGGAATCTCATTGCTCTCTACAGCTGCTTAAAAGGAGATTGTAGCAGATGGGGTCAGCCTGTTCTCATAAACAGCAAGCAATTGGACAACTTGAAATGGCCTCAAGTTGCACCAGGGGAGGTATAGGTTGGATGCTATGAAAATATATTCACCAGGAGGATTGTCAATCATTGCAGCAGGCTGCTCAGGGAAGTGGCAGAATCACCATCCCCAAAGGGATGATGTCGATGTGTAGATGCGGCACTTGGGGACATGGTTTAGTAGTGGATTTGACGGTGTTGGATTAACCATTGAACTCAATAAACGTCCTATTCAACCTAAATGATTCTATGATTCTATATTATAGCTTCACAGAAAAATGTGAGATATCAAAACAAAATTCTTCCCGTCTTCCTTCATATATAATGCAGAATATTTTGTGTATCTCATGCTTTCCCAGATGTATGTGATTATGGCAAGAGGAACCTCTGTGCTAATACCCTTTAGCTTTAGAGCACTTATTCATGATGTGCAGAATCAGGAGTGTCAAAATTCTCATCTATTGAATTTTGATCCAAACTTAGATAAATTTGTTATTATTCTAGAAAAGTGTTCCAACTTTTAGATACACATTTATGGGGAAAAATAAGTATGCATCAGCATTTTAAATTTTATCATACTATCTTCATAATTTTTTAGCACCTTCTCTGTATTCTGGTGGAATATATTGAGATATCAATGTTAATGTTAGAAAAATCTAAGAAAAATGCATTTTGGAGTAAGTCCACTCCACGTACATTCATCAGTTAGCTTTTTTGTTGTTGTTGTTGTTTTTGGGAAAAAACACTTGCCACCAGAGTTTATATTCCTAAGTGAAAGAAAGTCCTTCACTGACACTGAAGAGCTAAGATTTTTATGATACTGTCAACATTTTTTATAGTGTGCTTCATGCCTGACTTAAAAAATTCAAAATGGCATGCCTTGAGACATACAGCATGTGCTATGGATTTTGTTACAGTTTAACTTATTTCCCAGTATTGTTCTTTTCAGCTTTAAAATAATTTTAGGTATTTAAACATTTCAAATACTGCCTCTTTTTTTTTCTGTAGAGACGTTGTACTCATGCTTTTGTTTGGCTTCTCTCTAAGTGAAATTATGTTATTGTAAAGATATATAATGTAAAATAAAAGTGCTTCCTCATGGATTTAAGCGGTTCCAGTCTAAAAATCTGAACAATAATTACCACAGGTCATACCAGTGGGTCTCTGGCAGGGTGTCTGAAAGCAAACACCTTACTTAAAAGGTATCTAAGGCAAGGTCTACGTGGTTTCTGACAAGAAAACCACTTAAGGGCAGCATTAATCACTGATACCCCTTAGACATTCCAATCTGTAGGTTATTTCCCAGCTGTCACTCAGCAGGAGATATTGCACAATTTTTCTCAGTGAGACAAAATTTTTATGAGTGAGAGCTACAAAATAGAGCTGTCACCTTGACAGAATGTGGAGCCAATGTGTCCCTGTATTTGTTCTTACTGAGCTGTTTGGCTTTGGTTAAAAAAAAACCCCAAAAACAAAACTAAGAACAGGAGGGCAAAGCTTTCTCTGCATCTGTAAGGCCCAAAAGGGTTTCTCTTAGACCTTCCTATCTAGTTACTTATCAGTTTACCTGTTTGTTTAGCTGTAATTTAATGATCCGTTAGTGTCTCAGTAGTATCACAGCAGCTTCTGGAGGTGATACACTATCTAAAGACTATAATAAACTCAGAGTGGTGTGACCTTCAATACAACCTAAGTAATAGATAGACTTTTCTGACAAAACAGAAGAGAACCTTAAATCTTTGAGTTCCTGTTTTGAGATAAATATATGCCTCCAAACATAGGACTAAATTATGTGTATAAAAATCAGTATCTTATTACATTATTGAATTTTTACCAAGCTGGGAACTGAGGGTCTCTCTATGCTTGATAAAACATGTGTGATTCAAAAGCTACGCTTCAGTCTGTGCTTTCATCTCCCCAGCTTGCAGCACAACAGTACTCTTAGAAAAACTCAGGCAAAGCCACATTGCTGTGCTACATCAGGTGAGCTTTTGTTCACAGATTGGCTGAACTCCTAAGCTGAGCAGTACAAAACTGAAGTGGGTGCAAAAATAATTTATCAAGATGAAGGTCCAGTCAATTGTCTTCATCTATTTGAATATGGAAAACGAAAGAAGCATAAATATGGTATTAGCAAAGAAAAAAATTTAACTTCAAGGATTTGACATTAATCTCATTATTAATACTAACTTAGTATTAATTAATGCAAATTAATAGTACTTGAAGTGATCTTGTAAAGAAATCTAATCTAAATATCCTGAATGACTACTGATCGCATTACTATGAACAAATACCCACTTCCTACCATTGCAAGGTGACTTGATGGGTGCTTGCAACATTTTCCAGGCTGACATTTCTGCTCATTTCAAGTCTGTTCTCCAAAATGCAATTTTAAATTAATCCTTGTTCTTAGCCTTGAGGGTTTTTCAGTGAGCATCACAGTGCTCTTCACATTTAGAGTATCATCTTTAAATGGGTTATAAGTATACAGCCTTAAGATTTTTATAGAGTGATTGCTCAGTTGCAGTTACTGAATTTTTGTATTCATATTTCTGACTTGTATTGGTTTCTGTTTCCCAGTGTCTTGCACATGGATTATTTGTCTAATATCTATTTTAGATCAGATTCTATGCAAATATAGAAAGACACTGTAACTCCACTTTTGATGAGCTAACATATTCTTATATCAGCTGTTTATATATGGATGAAAGAGAAGACTTTTTTAACATATATCATGGGTACTTCAAAACATACAATTGCTGGATTTTGTAAATGCATCATTTATGTAGTTGTATCATACTACATAATAGATGTATAATACAATGCAATAAGAGATTGCTGGAGTTTCCTTCTTTTCTTTTGGGAAAACTCTTTTTTTCTCTTTCTTTCTTTCTCTGTCTTTTCAATCCAGACTTCCTTTGTGAAAGGCTACTAGAATTCCAATATGCTTCTGACATTTCCAGTCACTGCATCTTTCTCACATGCCTTTTTGCCCACTTACATTGTCCTCAGGAGGAACTGCAGATGTTCAGATTAACAATCTGGTATAGTGACAGCAATGTAGGGAGAGAGCAGTTTAATCAAGAAACAGCTTAGAAAGACAATTTGAAGACCAGAGGGTACACTGATATTGCTGGGAGAGTAGGATCTTAGGTAAGGTGTACAGGCAATGGTCTGGAAATTGTAATAGTAAATTGTGTACTTGTGCATGGACAAGCAGATGTGGCTTAAATTAGGATTTCTTTGCTTTTTTGGAGGATTCAGAGCATGTGACTTTCCCTACTGATGTCAACTTCAATGGCTTAATAATGCATATTTTTTCAGGTTTCTTAAGGTTTGTCTGTTTGTTCTCTTGAAACTTCACCTGTACTATGTGTGCAGTACACACTATCCTGCCTAGAGGAAAGTGTATTCAGATAAAAGCATGGCAGAGGACAAAGTGTGCACAAAAACAACCAGGGTGGCTGGGGGTGCACAAGAGCCTGAGGGTTCCGCTCTGTCTGCTGGCAGTAGTGCCAGCCTGGAGACACCTAAAAGGGCAAGTTCCCAGCGGAAGTGAGGGCATGCTTTTTCTGTCAGCAGCCCTACATGGAGTTGTATCTGTTTGTTAAGGTTTCTTGTGATTAAGCTAATCTGCCTGAAAAGTGTTGTCCCTGATAAAGTCCTGTTCCCATCAATCAGGCTTCTGGGAACTGAGTCGCAGCCATTAATCAGACCCACGTGTACTTGCCACACACCAGTCAGCCTACTGTGCTTCACATTGCTTTAATTTCCAGTTAAAAATGCATGTTTTCATTGAAATAGGAATAGTGCTTCATTGCAACTAATAACTGAGCCTTTGCTGACTTCTCAGTGCTCTTCTTTGCAGTCAAGGTAATTTCCATGTTGTGTCATTACTATTGATAATAGTTACCAAGTGGGACGTTCAGAGGCTGTTCTGTGGCCTCACCCATTTCCCTTGATGGTCAATTGAGCAGTGGTTACTCCTGATGTGTTACTATTGCAGAAACCTGTGATAACTCTTGGAAATAATTATACTCATGCACTGTGGAAATTCAGTGCCCAGTAGCTGTAATAATGATAGTAACAACGTTTAGCTTGTAGAGTTGCCTAATTGACTTGAACAATTCTGAAGCTGTAGCATTTGTTTTGATATGGTTATCTTGTTGAGACATAGGGGGAACTGTAGTCTTTCTACAGATAATACATGCAATTTATATTAAAAATATTAAAAATATTTCACGGTTCCACTAAATATTTATCCCCTTATCTTAAGCTTCAGGTGTGTTTTTATAGTACTAAAAAGGTACATTAAAAATTAATAAAATGAAGTTAACTGAAAAGTAACTTAATTCCAATGACTCATAGTTGTTATTCTGAAATAGCTGCCATAATTCCTTGATTCCTCATCTCCGAATGACCATTGTTTTCTTATTTATGATAAATTTTCTTATTTTAAAATTTGAGGGAGGTGAAATCCACTTTGATATAATGATAAAATTTCCATCCTCTTTGGATTTAAAACTGAGAATGTCTCCAAATGGATTAATTTTTTATATAGACACAGCTGGCAGGTTTGTAAAACTTGGCATAAGTTGTATCTTCTTTATTGAGAATTGGTCATCAGGGGACCCCATGGGATGTCATCAGTTTGTTTCTGAGCATGTCTGAAGGACATCTGCTGAGGCTGTAGGAGACCTGAACAAAGCCTCACCCATTCAGTGCATCACTGGACGCTGCACATCCAGCTATCTGCTTTCACACTGTTGTCCCTCACCCATGAAGGCTTTGTGAATGTCTCCATGCATTCCATGAAGCAATGTCTTCCAGGAAATCTCAAGTAGCAGAAAATTGCTTGATGTCATTTGAGAGATTTAGCAATTTTTCTTGAATGTACAACTTTTTCGATAATCTTCTAAACAATGAAAGCAAAATCCTGGCACTGTATAGCCTGGAAATACCAATGTTAGACAGAAAGACAAGTAGAATATACCACAGATAGCAATTATTGGTTTCATGTTGCAATGAAAAAATCTGTATGGGCAGTGAATCACAGCAGAAATGTAAAATCTGTACTGCTTTCCCTAGACTTATATGTATTGAAGTACCTCAGTAATGGATTAAAATACAACAGATATTTATTGATTAAATACCAGCTTTAAAAACACATACTGAAAAAAAACTAAAAAAAAATTATCAGGTAAAGTCAATTGGACATAAAGGAGCACATTTATATATGTGGAAAAATGTATTTTTATTTATTTTCTCTCTAGTGGGTCTAAAAAAGTCCCAGCTAGTCTAATCACATGCTGAGTAAGCTATAAAGGAATGTAAATTGAAGCAGAAAAATCAGGAATTTTTGTAATATTCCTAATAAATTTAAAACATGGAGTATGTTCCTTTTTTGGCCCAATAACAAATCTGAATTATCACTGAGTGATAGTAGCATATTTTGAAAATATATCCTCTCTTTTTTAATATATATATTAAAGAATCAGGTAAGAAAATAGCTGTTTGTGTGATTTAATGGCTGATTAATACTGTGAGGAGGCATGATGAACAAATGTAATATATATGGCACTCAACATAATTAATTTTTATGGTTAAATAGTAGTAGTCCAGAGGTGTGCAGACTGTTACAGCACAGCCATAAAGTTTCTGTCTAAATTAACCTGCAAAGGTGCCAGGTGTGCATTAACCTGAGCAAAATAAAAATTATATAGTGTCACTTTCTTTCCCCTTTAGCTAGTAGGATCTCATATTTCTATGAGGCACTTAATCCAGAAATTTGTCCATCTTAGCCTCCAAGCAATTATTTACAGAATGTTCCATTTTCAATGTCTAAGTCCCTGTAATGGAGAATTGTAAGGCACATCAGCAGAATTGCATCAAGATATTAAAATTATTGCTGTTGTAATAGTGGTTCATTCCTAGTTATATGCTTATGGGGTGTTTTTCCATTTCATGTTTAATTTTTTTTTTTCTCACTTCCAGGAGCTGGAGTTTTCTAATCTGTTTGCAGTCCTTCACTGTATCCACTCATTCTTTGCAGCCAAAGTGGCTTGTTTGGACCCTTTGTATGTAGGCAGCCAAGCCACAGCTTCTGCTGCTCCCACAACTTCTGGTACTGGCAAATTAAAGTATTCTACTTGACATCCCCCATGACAGCACTGCCACTTAACAACAAGACATAAAAATGTATAAATATTCATAAGATTTAGACCTTTGGTGAACCATGTATGTGGAAACCAATCCTGGAGGCAAGACATCTTGCAGCATCAGCAGATAAATGGTCACGTGGGATCATAATTTCATCTCGGTTCTGCAAGACATCAGTAAATAATCCTAGTCAAAAACCCAGAATAGGATGGATATGCTTCTAGTATTATCTATTTGTACTTACATAGTGCTTTAAGCAACGTTGGAAGCAAAGGAATAAATGGCGAAATGAAGCACTTGAGTATTTAATAAAATTTTCAAATTGCTGTAATAATACACAAATAGAATTGTCATTTTCCTCTTTTCAGATGTTTTCTAATGACAATATACTAAACTCTGAGTATGAACATAATGCCCTTTCATTATATTATAAATGAGAGCAAGCATACAGTACATGGTGACAAAGGAGATAAGCATGAAAAGACATTTGTGTGAGTACCTCCTCAAATAAGAAAGCACTTTAAGCACTGTTGTAAATCCATACTTGTGTTCATACATGGAATCATGCTCCTTTTCCCATTTAGTTCTCTTCATCTAAAAGTAACAACAGCAAACATATAGCCATACTGGTCTGATACATTAAAAACAAAATAAAACAAACAAGCCACAAAAAGAAAAAACACTTTTTCATGGATATGTCCCTCTTCTTCAAGTAAAAATAATGGCATATGAATTTAATTTTAATTATAAATTAAGTGCAAGTACAAACAATAGTGTGAAATCTATTTATTTCCTCCCTTTTTTGTTAAGAATTAAATACTGTAAATCTAACAGTTTTTGTTCACAAGAGTTTGAAATTGTTTCAGACAACTCAATTAATACGTTGTTTCCATGGCTAACCTTTATTTCACATGATAGGCAGAACTTATGTTTCATTTAAACTCTCAACAAATAGATATTTTTCATTATGCTTGAAAAATTATTTTACCATTTGAATTCTTAATAAGTTATTTTATGTATATATATTGATAGTAAGACAGGGATAAATTGAATAAACTATAAAGAATGCATTACAGAATGCATTCTTTGTTCACTTCTTTGTTTTTTAAGACCTTTACATCACTCTGGATCAAGTACTAGTTTCAGAGTATAATTTAATGATGAAATATAAAGGACTTCTAAGTTTAAAATTAATAACTTCATTTAATTGCAATTTTATAATATAATTTAATTTTGTGCTATGACACACACAAATTAAGATGATGGAAAAAAAGTTATATATTTTCAGGAGTAGTTTTGGTGTTTCATTTTATTGTATTGAATTTAAAACTACCTTTTTTCCCCTTACATTTAGACTTTTTAGTAGCATTTACAAGATAGGGCCACCATCATCCTTGTTTAGCAGGAAGACTAATTCTATCACATCCCTTTCTACGTGTTAAGATGATTAATACTTAAAAAGTGAAGCCAGAGGAGAGCTTCTCCAAATGGGAACAATTCAAACTGCAAAGCAAGGACAAAAGATTAATGAAATTAAGGATCAAATCATGTCTCTGGTTTTTTGCTTTGCATTAGAAATATTTGGATTTACATGTGTGAGAGTAACATTGTTTTGTAGTATAGCTGATCTAATCTGATACTAGTTCCAAATAATCTGAAAATATCTGGGGGAGGGGAACTGTTGTATCACTTACAAAGGTCTTCTGCTATACACGTACTTCCTATTAGTACACCTCCAAGGGCTATACATTTATTTTCCATCCTAAATTCATTTGAATGATGTAACAATCCAGCTATTAAATACTCTAAGTGGCATCAAAATCCAATGTTTTCATAGACACCATCATGATTTTTTTCATAAGAATTGTCCCTAAATAAGGCGGTCACATCTGAAGGACAGATGAAACTACCATGGCTGTCCATAGGATCTTGAGCTTAGACACAAACCCTGGATATTTTGAATCTAAAGCTGTAACAGTTCAAGAGATTTAACAATGGTAATTCAGGCACTGCGCTTGTCTAGAAAGCATGTACTGGAAACACAAATTTTGGCAGAGCATTGACAGTGCTGAAAAGAGAAGCCTGATATCTTTTAATGACAGTTCTCAGTGCTCCCAAATAATTCCTCCACTTCAGTGCATTGCTGTGGCATTCAGCTGTCACAGCAGTGTGGCCATGTGCTGCCACCTCTGCTGGCAGTAGTGGAATCTGAAACTGGTCTGCTGCCGGTTGAATGTTTTCCCTTCAACTGTTCATGTGATGTGCAGTTGCATCACTGAATCTGAGGGGTGTTTAGGAGATGTGATTGAATGAGCGTAACATTTACCCAAACCAGCACAAAATATGCCATTGCAAATTTCTGTAGATGAAGGAATTCTATTATATGAAAGCCCCCTCACAAAAAATTTCAACAAAAAGGCTCATTGTGCAGAATGGAGTTAATGACATGAACTTCTGGAAATCTGCCAGGGTATCTTGAACCTCTCTGTCAAGAATTCAGTTTGTAGACCACCTGCATTCATCACTGAGAGTTTTATAATTGGGCATTAAATACAGAACATTTAAGGAACACATTAGCCTGCAAATTGTTTTTTTGTTATTGTTGTTGTTGTTGTTTTTTCTAAGGAGTTAAGCTGGTAGGGCTTTATCAGTACTTTTATTTACAAGAAGATAAGTGTTATTGAGAGAATATAAGATGTCATAGCTTTGACTGCAGATCAATGTTGATTTGTAAATGCAGCAAGCATTTGTGCAGTGACCTGACAGATTATTCAGAGGTGACTCTACATCCAGCCTTGCCCTTGTAGAGCAACTTGGTCAGAAATTCAGTCTTGAACCAAAGAGGCAAAATTTTAAATTCTGTGTTACAACTAATCCTGAAATACCAAAATAAAATTTACAAACCTATTAAATGGCTACATTTTGCATTTAAATACCTACATTGGAAGCATAGTGAACTCCATATGCATATGTCAAAACTCAGGCTTTGTGTTGCAGCCTGTCATTTCACACATAGCATATAATGAATACAAGTGTTTTGTAAGTCAACACAGCCCATTGACAATGAAATGACAGAATTATAATGAGCCATCAGCTTTTGCTAAAAATCTGTATGCAAGTGAAAGCAAATATTTTAATAAGAAAGAGTAAACAAACCAATCCATAGCATAATATATAATTTGTTCTCCTTATGTTATGATATTTTCAAGTAAGTTTAATAAAGAAAATTCTTTATAGTACTGTGCCTATTGATGTTATATAGTATACCAAAAATATGTACTCTTAAGTATAACTAAATGTATTTGGTTTGATTTGGCTTGCTTTATGATGGGAATTTTAAATTATCTGGTCTTCACAGAACTAATCATATGCTAGGATATAGTGTTAGCTTATTTATTATGGAAGTGTTACAAATTTGAATACATTTATTCTTGATTTCATCAGTAAATGAATATGTTTCATTTTCCACATCTTTTTAAAAATAACAGTTACAGATTTTCAAAAGTGCTTTGCATTCCAGTAGCACAAAGACACCTTTGAAATAAAAATCAGCATATTTTTAGCTATTGGCCATTTCATTATGTTAATTAAGTGCATCAAGAACTTTGTGGAGAAGAGCTAGTTTTAAGAGGGCTATTTTTTAAAACAGTCTTTTAAAGTTTTATTTATTCAAACTAGAATTCTTAAGAATGCGAACCAATAATATACAGTATCAATATGCTTTGAGAAAAGAATCATGAAAAGTCTTGTTTTCTAAATTAGTTCTTAATTCCACAAAATGATATTTATTTTAAATGCAGAGACCTATCAGAACACTCCAAGTGCATGATTAAACATGTAGTTGTCAACACTGCAGCCTGTTACTTTAAATGTGATTTGGTTTATTCAAAGCCTTAAGATGTTACTTGTATCAGACAAAATGTTAAAAAAAAAAAAAAAACTTGAGATCTTGAGAATGTACAACTGTTGCTCTTAGAAATTCAGACCAATTTTCATTCTTTCTTGGGAACTCTAAGAAAGCTTTTGGAAATTTTATTAACATTGAAAACACTGAGCCCTACATTTCACTTTCTATTTCTTTATGTGGTGGTTTGGTCTCTGAAAAAGTCTAGTGTCTGAAAAAAATTAAAGCTGATTTTAAAAAGTTCTGTCTCAGGCAGTTGTGAGTCTGAGCTTAAAGCTCACACCTCTGACTGGTTCAGTATGATGGGAAACATGAAAGACTCACTTAAGGTCCCAAAATTTAAGTACCTCTCTTAGATGACTGAGGTTGCAATTCAGGCACTTCAAAAAGGAAATACAGGGTGGGAGTGTAGCTTAAGATCTCTGAAGATGCACTTGTATGTGTCTGTCTTTCTCTCTGTTTCTCTAAGGAGCTAGAGGTGCTTCTACTTTAGTGTTTTCATTTTATCAGGAATTTTAAGCCAGTTTCCTGCCTATGGCCACTCATGCAATTCTTTTTATCACAGAGCAGTCATCAAGCACATGAGCTGTTTCTTTCAGGATGACACTAAGCAAGCATCCCAGTTCCAGGTCCTGGTGGGCTTTCAGACCATGCAGCCCAGTTGAAATGAGTCCAGAGGAAAAGCCCCTCTGGGATGCTATCAGCAAGGTTGCCAGGTCCTGGTGCCAGCCATTTCTGTGGCTGTTGCAGCTGCTGCTCCTGCAGAAAAATGGAGAAAAAGATAAAAAAGCTAAAAAGCTGAGCTTCGCAGTGGAGCCCCTGGGGCTCAGTGCCTGGAGGGGGATGCTGTGCTGCAGCAAGAGGCAGAATGAAGCTGAAAAGGGCTGATGCTGCCCAGGCAGGTTATTCTGCATCACTTTTTCCCTCACCACACCAGGACAGTATTGGCTGCAAGCAGGCTACCCCGTGCTGGTCAGCCCTCTCCCTGCTGCATCCTTCTCCCCATCTGCCACAAACACACTCCTGAATATTGGCTCTGGATCCCCAAGCACGCTTCCATGCTCCATCACTCCCGTTGCTCAGACAAATGTCAAACTGTTCTTAG